GCTGAAATTTTCAGGGATTGTAGTCCTTTGAAAGGGATGAAATTCAGTGAAAGATTCAGCTTTCTATCTATAATAGAAAAAAAGTTACGACCTTTGAAAGTTTTCCGAAAAAATCATAAGGGGGGTACCTTCTTACTAAAATGATGAAATTTCAAATTTTTTTTGTCGAGATTTTGGGTTCTACTGATCCCTCGTGATACCCTGAACTCCATACACAAAATTATTCTCAGATTTGAAGCCGAAATCTATGGAAAAAGGCACTCAGAAAAATTGAAAAATTGATAAATCACCCCAATTGCTTAACACGATTTTATCTCAGGAACTATAAGTGCAAATGAGCTGAAATTTTCAGGGATTGTAGTCCTTTGAAAGGGATGAAATTCAGTGAAAGATTCAGCTTTCTATCTATAATAGAAAAAAAGTTACGACCTTTGAAAGTTTTCCGAAAAAATCATAAGGGGGGTACCTTCTTACTAAAATGATGAAATTTCAAATTTTTTTTGTCGAGATTTTGGGTTCTACTGATCCCTCGTGATACCCTGAACTCCATACACAAAATTATTCTCAGATTTGAAGCCGAAATCTATGGAAAAAGGCACTCAGAAAAATTGAAAAATTGATAAATCACTCCAATTGCTTAACGCGATTTTATCTCAGGAACTATAAGTGCAAATGAGCTGAAATTTTCAGGGATTGTAGTCCTTTGAAAGGGATGAAATTCAGTGAAAGATTCAGCTTTCTATCTATAATAATTTTTTTTGTCGAGATTTTGGGTCCTACTGGTCCCTCGTGATACCCTGAACTCCATACACAAAATTATTCTCAGATTTGAAGCCGAAATCTATGGAAAAAGGCACTCAGAAAAATTGAAAAATTGATAAATCACTCCAATTGCTTAACGCGATTTTATCTCAGGAACTATAAGTGCAAATGAGCTGAAATTTTCAGGGATTGTAGTCCTTTGAAAGGGATGAAATTCAGTGAAAGATTCAGCTTTCTATCTATAATAGAAAAAAAGTTACGACCTTTGAAAGTTTTCCGAAAAAATCATAAGGGGGGGTACCTTCTTACTAAAATGATGAAATTTCAATTTTTTTTTTGTCGAGATTTTGGGTACTACTGATCCCTCGTGATACCCTGAACTCCATACACAAAATTATTCTCGGATTTGAAGCCGAAATCTATGGAAAAAGGCACTCAGAAAAATTGAAAAATTGATAAATCACCCCAATTGCTTAACACGATTTTATCTCAGGAACTATAAGTGCAAATGAGCTGAAATTTTCAGGGATTGTAGTCCTTTGAAAGGGATGAAATTCAGTGAAAGATTCAGCTTTCTATCTATAATAGAAAAAAAGTTACGACCTTTGAAAGTTTTCCGAAAAAATCATAAGGGGGGGGTACCTTCTTACTAAAATGATGAAATTTCAAGTTTTTTTTTGTCGAGATTTTGGGTACTACTGGTCCCTCGTGATACCCTGAACTCCATACACAAAATTATTCTCAGATTTGAAGCCGAAATCTATGGAAAAAGGCACTCAGAAAAATTGAAAAATTGATAAATCACCCCAATTGCTTAACACGATTTTATCTCAGGAACTATAAGTGCAAATGAGCTGAAATTTTCAGGGATTGTAGTCCTTTGGAAGGGATGAAATTCAGTGAAAGATTCAGCTTTCTATCTATAATAGAAAAAAAGTTACGACCTTTGAAAGTTTTCCGAAAAAATCATAAGGGGGTACCTTCTTACTAAAATGATGAAATTTCAAATTTTTTTTGTCGAGATTTTGGGTTCTACTGATCCCTCGTGATACCCTGAACTCCATACACAAAATTATTCTCAGATTTGAAGCCGAAATCTATGGAAAAAGGCACTCAGAAAAATTGAAAAATTGATAAATCACCCCAATTGCTTAACACGATTTTATCTCAGGAACTATAAGCGCAAATGAGCTGAAATTTTCAGGGATTGTAGTCCTTTGGAAGGGATGAAATTCAGTGAAAGATTCAGCTTTCTATCTATAATAGAAAAAAAGTTACGACCTTTGAAAGTTTTCCGAAAAAATCATAAGGGGGGTACCTTCTTACTAAAATGATGAAATTTCAATTTTTTTTTTGTCGAGATTTTGGGTACTACTGATCCCTCGTGATACCCTGAACTCCATACACAAAATTATTCTCAGATTTGAAGCCGAAATCTATGGAAAAAGGCACTCAGAAAAATTGAAAAATTGATAAATCACCCCAATTGCTTAACACGATTTTATCTCAGGAACTATAAGCGCAAATGAGCTGAAATTTTCAGGGATTGTAGTCCTTTGGAAGGGATGAAATTCAGTGAAAGATTCAGCTTTCTATCTATAATAGAAAAAAAGTTACGACCTTTGAAAGTTTTCCGAAAAAATCATAAGGGGGGTACCTTCTTACTAAAATGATGAAATTTCAATTTTTTTTTTGTCGAGATTTTGGGTACTACTGATCCCTCGTGATACCCTGAACTCCATACACAAAATTATTCTCGGATTTGAAGCCGAAATCTATGGAAAAAGGCACTCAGAAAAATTGAAAAATTGATAAATCACCCCAATTGCTTAACACGATTTTATCTCAGGAACTATAAGTGCAAATGAGCTGAAATTTTCAGGGATTGTAGTCCTTTGGAAGGGATGAAATTCAGTGAAAGATTCAGCTTTCTATCTATAATAGAAAAAAAGTTACGACCTTTGAAAGTTTTCCGAAAAAATCATAAGGGGGGTACCTTCTTACTAAAATGATGAAATTTCAAAATTTTTTTGTCGAGATTTTGGGTCCTACTGATCCCTCGTGATACCCTGAACTCCATACACAAAATTATTCTCAGATTTGAAGCCGAAATCTATGGAAAAGGGCACTCAGAAAAATTGAAAAATTGATAAATCACCCCAATTGCTTAACACGATTTTATCTCAGGAACTATAAGTGCAAATGAGTTGAAATTTTCAGGGATTGTAGTCCTTTGAAAGGGATAAAACTCAGTGAAAGATTCAGCTTTCTATCTATAATAGAAAAAAAGTTACGACCTTTGAAAGTTTTCCGAAAAAATCATAAGGGGGGTACCTTCTTATCAAAATGATGAAATTTCAAATTTTTTTTTGTCGAGATTCTGTGTCCTAATGGTCCCTCGTGATACCCTGAACTCCATAAACCAAATTATTCTCAGATTTGAAGCCAAAATCTATGAAAAAAGGCACTCAGAAAAATTGAAAAATTGATAAATCACCACAATTGCTTAGCTTAGCACGATGTTATCTCAGGAACTATAAGTGTCAATGAGCTGAAATTTTCAGGGATTGTAGGCCTTTGAAAAGGATAATTTTCAGTGAAAGATTCAGCTTTCTATCTATAATAGAAAAAAAGTTATGACTTTTCAAAATTTTCCAAAAAAATCATAAGGGGGGTACCTTCCTACTAAAACGATGAAATTTCAAATTTTTTTTTGTCGAGATTTTGTGTCGTAATGGTCCCTCGTGATACCCTGAACTTTATAAACTAAATTATTCTCAGATTTGAAGCCAAAATCCATGAAAAAAGGCACTCGGAAAAATTGAAAAATTGATAAATCACCACAATTGCTTAGCACGATTTTATCTCAGGAACTATAAGTGTCAATGAGCTGAAATTTTCAGGGATTGTAGTCCTTTGAAAAGGATAATTTTCAGTGAAAGATTCAGCTTTCTATCTATAATAGAAAAAAAGTTATGACTTTTCAAAATTTTCCAAAAAAATCATAAGGGGGGTACCTTCCTACTAAAACGATGAAATTTCAAATTTTTTTTTGTCGAGATTTTGCGTCCTAATGGTCCCTCGTGATACCCTAAACTCCATAAACTAAATTATTCTCAGATTTGAAGCCGAAATCTATGGAAAAAGGCACTCAGAAAAATTGAAAAATTGATAAATCACCACAATTGCTTAGCACGATTTTATCTCAGGAACTATAAGTGTCAATGAGCTGAAATTTTCAGTGAAAGATTCAGCTTTCTATCTATAATAGAAAAAAAGTTATGACTTTTCAAAATTTCCCAAAAAAATCATAAGGGGGGTACCTTCCTACTAAAACGATGAAATTTCAAATTTTTTTTTTGTCGAGATTTTGTGTCCTAATGGTCCCTCGTGATACCCTGAACTCCATAAACTAAATTATTCTCAGATTTGAAGCCAAAATCCATGAAAAAAGGCACTCAGAAAAATGGAAAAATTGATAAATCACCACAATTGTTTAGCACGATTTTATCTCAGGAACTATAAGTGTCAATGAGCTGAAATTTTCAGGGATTGTAGTCCTTTGAAAGGGATAAAATTCAGTGAAAGATTCATGGCCATTTGCGCGGCTATCACTTGAGGGATATTTAATCTAAGTGGAGCTTTGTATGTGACTTTTGTCTCTACAAGAGTTACATTTGAAGCTCTACTTAGATTAGGTATCCCTTAAGTTATAGCGGTGCAAATGGCCGTCAGCTTTCTATCTATAATAGAAAAAAAGTTATGACCTGTCAAAATTTTCCAAAAAAATCATAAGGGGTTACCTTCTTACTAAAAAGATGAAATTTCAATTTTTTTTTTTTTGTCGAGATTTTGTATCCTAATGGTCAATCAACATACTCCAAACTCTATACACTAAATTATTCTCTGATTTGTTGCCAAAATCTATGGAAAAAGGCACTCACAAAAATTGAAAAATTGATAAATCACCCCGAATTGCTTGACACGATTTTATCTCAGGAACTGTAAGTGCAAATGAGCTGAAAGTTTCAGGGATTGTAGTTTTTTTATTGAGATAAGGTTCAGTGAAAATTTCAGCTTTCTATCTTTAATAGAAAAAAAGTTATGAACTCTCAAAGTGTACCAAAATCTAAATCATTACAAATTCAAATAAGGCCAAATATGAATCCAGAAATCTATGAAAATTAAATAGTTGGAGGATACAGGGAACTGTCATATAAAAAAATGCAATAAAAATGTAATAGTATTTTATTTTATATTTTGTCTTTCATGATCCACCATCGCTTGTACATGGTGCGTAATAGCTTCCCAAGGGTCTTGCAGGAACTTTTTATTACCCAAAACCAACTTGTATATTTGAATTCCTTGTATTATTTCCCTTTTTCTTTTCCTTTGTTTCTCAATGCCCTTTTTCTTTGCAATGTCAGCACTGCGCTTATTAGCACTGGGTCTGGTTTTGAGCAAGGCTTCCAACGAGGGCAATGCGTCATGTAGAGGATTGGTGTCGCCCATAATAGCGGTGCTTTTTCGTTTCTCCTTCAGTTTAAGGGCCTTTTTCATTTGTTGTACCTTGTCGATTTTGTTCAGGAGCTTCTGCCTGCGCATTTTTATTTTCTCCTTCTTGGCCATAATAACAGAACTTTTGGCATTTAGTTTAGTTTCTGTCTTGATATCTAGGCCTGTCGTTTTTCCCGTTTTTGCCCTGAGCTTTTGTTTGGGGCGTACAATTTTTCCCATTGTTCCTGAATATAAATTTTTAATTTATTAAAGGATTGGGGAATAGTTCGAGGGGTTTTTACCTAGTTTTCGAGCTCTCACAACCTTCTAGAATAATGAAATACTTGCATTGCTTGCTTGCTTCTATGTTCTTTTTTTTTAAATTAAATTGAAATTTGAAATGTTTGGTTAGGTCTCCTTCCTGAAGCTTTGGAGCTTGGGCTTTTATTTGAGAGATGGCGCATCGATAAACGTAGCGTTTTCGTTAGGTTTTCTGTCCGAACTATTTATTTAAGTTGGGTTCGGCTATTCAGCGCGGAGTTGGAGTGGAGTAAGAACAGAACTAATGGAGTCACCCCAATACGGTAAAAAGCAATACCCGAACCTTAACCCGAACGGCTAGAGTGCGAATAGAGTCACTCGGAGTGCACGAAGTGAGCAAGCCGAACCCACCTCTAGAATGTTTTGATTTTGTTCCATTTGCACCATTAAGGTAGATTTGCACTAACTCGATTTAAATTACTCAAATCATTCCATATCTGCATTAATTCTATTTGAATTCAGTCTATTGTTCGAGCTACTCTAAGTGTTCCATGTGCTTTAATTTCTGTTTCATTTGCACTTAATTTTGAGTTTTCAGTACTTCTAAATACTTTGGCTGTTCTATTTGCACCGACTTTTTTTTGATCTGTCCAACGGCCCGCCTCTGTTCTGATTGCACCTGCTCCGATTGATACTGTTCGAACAATTCTAATGTGCTACTAAACAATACCACCTAGAATATAGTATTTTTAATACCCATTTAGAATAACCCCATCCTTATTTTTCAATCACTAATTAGATGAAACGAAAAATTTCCAACAAAAACGAACGTCGATTGCTAATACGTCAATTGCAAGTAGTATAGGTAATTCCTAACAAAAAATATGTAAAGTGCGTTTTTTTTTTAAAGATAAAAGTCAAACTGACATTAGGTTGGCAATACAATGTAAAATTGTCAATGCTATCAAATTTTTCTTGTAGAAAAGGCTTGTGTTGCCAACATAGTTACTAAATTTTTGACTTGGGGGGAATTATCTTTAAAAAAAAACAGATTTTAGGATTTTTTAGCTGGGTTCGGCTAGCACACTCCGTGCACTCCAAGTGACTCCGTTCGCACTCCAACGTGCGAACGGAGTTACTCGGAGTGCACGGAGTGTGCTAGCAGAACCCAACTCTAGAAGGATCTATTATAGTACCAAAACATAGGATGTTCTATTTTAAATAACAAAGTTCTGTCGTATACCCCCTTTACGGAATACCCTGCATATTCAAAAATATTTTTAACTAATGCACCTTAGAGTTTTATTTTACAAAACATCATTATTTTTTTAAAAATCATACTTCCATTAATAATAACTCAATCGCTTTGAGTTTTCAATATTTTTTACATTGAATCTTTAGAAAAAAGTCCTCAAAATTTCAACTTTCCATTCACTTTAGTTTTTGAGTGAAAAAATTGTTTGTAAAGTTTTACTTTACAAAACATAATTATTTTTGAAAAATCATAACCCCATTAATAATAACTCAATGGCTTTGAGTTTCCAGTATTTTCTACATTGAAGCTTTAGAAAAAAGTCCTCAAAATTTCAACTTTCCACTCACTTTAGTTTTTGAGTGAAAAAATTGTTTGTGAAGTCTTACGTTTACATAACATCATTATTTTTAAAAAATCATAACTCCATTAATAATAACTCAATTGCTTTGAATTTTTGATATTTTTTACATGGAACCTTTAGAAAAAAGACCTCAAAATTTTAACGTTCCACTCAGTTTAGTTTTTGAGTGGAAAAATTGTTTATAAAGTCTTTTACTTTCCAAAACTTCATTATTGTCATATGTCTCTTGATTAAATAAAACGATTATTCATTTAATTAACTTGAGTTTATTGACTATAATTAACGGGAACCGAAAACCGAAAATACAGAGGCTCGAGGCAACCAGCCGTTTACTGACTTCTCAGTTGAGCGGCGTTGCCAACTCTTCTCTATAAAAATAATAATATATTCTGACATCTCCCCTTTTAACACAGATAAGAGGAAGAGCTTATTTTACTGAACATAATCATCAAGATGTGCTGGTCTTTTAAGGTGTCTTCCAAATCTAGATTTATTTTGATTCAAGACAGGATTGTCATAATTATTGTTAAGAGAATTTCTTCTTTGATTCATTTCTTCAGACTCCAAGTTTTTTTTAGAACAGCTGGAAAACCCCTCATTTGAGACCACATTATCACCTAACATATTGAACTTATCACTAGTAGAAGCCTTGTACAGAGAATGCCTATTACGCTCTACAACATTTCCTGTAGGTAATTCTACCTTATAAGATCTTGGCTTTGGGCCCTTATCAATAATTTTTCCTTTACACATATCATGTATATTATCTCTAATCCTAACTACCTCCCCTTTTTCAAAATCTAAAGGCTTAAAATTATTCTTTTTATCATGAAAACTTTTAAATTGTTTCTGTCTATCCTCTAAAAATGACTTAACCCTGGAATTATTGTCATTATCATGAAAATCTTCAAATGATGGAAGAAAGGCATTCACTTTATGACCAAACAATATTTCATTTGGTGATTTTTCTAACTGTGAATCGATTGGAGTGTTACGATATTCTAGCAAAGCTATAAAAGGATCTGTGCCTGAATCATCAGCTTTTTTAAGTAATTGTTTGCACGTTTGAATGTACCTTTCCACCATGCCATTTGATCTTGGGTAGTGTGGGCTAGAAGTTTGATGTTGAAACTGCCATATTTTACAAAAATTTTTAAATTTCAAACACGAAAATTGTGGTCCATTGTCACTGTATAGAATACGAGGCTTGCCATACCGGGCAAAATTTTCTTTGAGTCCAATTATAACCTGATCTGCAGTTTCAGCATGCAATTTTTTAACTTCAAAGAATTTGCTAAAATAATCCACCACTAATAAAAATGCTTGATTTTTGAAATAAAAAATATCAGCTCCTACAATTTCCCATGACCTATTTGGGACTTCTCTCAACATTAAAGATTCATGTCCATGTTTTCTCTGAAACTTACAACAAGTACTACAGTTTTTTACTAAATCCTCAATTTCCTTGAGCATGAAAGGCCAGAACAAAACATTCTTTACTCTAGATTTACATTTGTCAACGCCAAAATGACTACAATGTATAAGTTTTAACATTTCACCTCTCAAGCTTTTGGGCACAAGAACAGCCTTATTTCTAAAAATTAATCCATTAACAAAGAATAACTCATCTTTAATGGAATAGTACACCTTCAATTGATCTGGTATTTTATCATATTTTGGCCAACCGTTTTGAATATAACCACTGATCAAAGACAAATCAGGATCCTCACTAGTGTTTTTAATAAAAATTTCTCTTTTCGACTCACTAAATGACAAGGTATTCACTATCAAACATAAATGAGCATTAATTTCATCATCTATTTCAGTTAAACCTTCTGCATACTTTAAATAGGAGCGAGACAAAGCATCAGCCAATAACAACTCCTTACCCGGTTTGTATTGCACAACTAAATCATAAATTTGTAGCCTTAACCTCAAACGTTGCAATCTTAATGGAGTATCGGCTAAAGGCTTTTTGAAAATTTGTTCCAAGGGCTTATGGTCTGTCTCAACAAAAACTAATCTACCATAAACGTATTGATGAAACCTCTCGCAGCCATGCACAATTGCCAATAACTCTTTTTCAATTTGTGCCCATGACTGCTGAGCAGGTGTCAAGGCTTTGGATGCGTATGCCACGGGCAAGTTATCTTGCAATAATACAGCACCCAAACCCCTGCTACTACTGTCAACTGACAAGACAACTTTTTTATTCGTATCAAAAAACTTTAAAACTGGAGCCTCAGTTAACAAGCTTTTCATTTTTTCAAAGTCAGAAGTATGTTTATTTGTCCAAACAAAATCTACATTGTTTTTTAAAAGTTGCCTCATCGAGTACGTTACATCTGATAATTTAGGTACAAATTTACTTACATAAGTAACCATTCCCAATATTGTCTGTAATTCTTTCTTGTCCTTTGGTGCATTCATATTAATTATTGCACTTATTTTCCTACTATCAGGTTTTAAACCTTGAGCACTAAAAACATGACCCACATAAGTTACTTGCGAAACACCAAACTGACACTTTTGTTTGTTGAATCTCACGTTACTCTGCTTGGCTCTATCCAAAACTGCTTCCAATTTTCTGTTGTGATCTTCTTCATCTGTTCCCCATATCATTACATCGTCTATATAGACCTCAACGCCCTCCAAGCCTTCAAAAATATTCTTAAATTTTTTGTGAAACACTTCAGGTGCCGAACAAAGGCCGAAAGGAACCCTTTTATAAGCATATCTACCAAAACTACCAGCGTGAAAAGTTGTTAGAAGTTGACTGTCTTTATGTAGTTTAATTTGGTAAAAACCTTTGTTTGCATCCAAGATAGAAAAAATTTTAGCTCCTGGCATCCTCGATGCTAGCTCTTCAAAATGAGGTAGTTGATGCCGTTCCCTTACTATGACATCATTCAAAGGCTTGGGGTCCAAACATAGGCGGAGGGACCCATCAGGTTTCTTAACAATCACCATCGAGTTGCACCATTCTGTAGGTTCTGTAACTTTCCTGATGACATTCATTTTTTCCATTCGATCCAGTTCTTTTTTAATTCCATCTTGTAGTCCTATGGGTATTTTTCTAGGAGCCTGTGTCACTGGTTCTGCATTGAGGTTAATTTTTATTTTATATGAGCTTTCCAGTTCTCCTAACCCATCAAAAAGACTACTATATTTTTTCAAAATCTGGTTCAACTGTTGCTTGCTATCCAAAGTATGTACTTTTTTGAGCAGATTAAACTTTTCAATACATGGAAGTCCTATTATGCAAGGTGCATCCAAATTCACTATCTGAAAATCCAAGCTGTGTATAACTCCATTAATTTCACACATTATGGTAGTTTCTCCAGATACATCAATTTTCGAGCCATTATATCCTTTTAGCTTCACCTGAGAAGGTCTTAATTGGATATTCAAATCTTTGTATGTCTTCATATTTAAAACATTGACATCGGCTCCTGTATCTACTTTACACACAACTTCTTTTCCGTTTATTCTAACTTTCTGTAGCCATTCCCTAATACTTGCTACATATTTTGTCTCTTTT